TAGACCCACTCTGCTGACATAATGCCCTGTGGTGCCAACACAGACCCTGGACTCTATGAGAAACTGCCTCAGACACCACCTCAGCTCCTTCGGTCATCATATATCTTGCATGTCAGCTATTCCCTTGGGTAAGGAATTACTGGAACAGACACCCACCCAAGCTGACTCCAATATAAAGAGGACTCTCACAGAATCCAAATGCACAGTCATCTCAGGAACTGGAAGCTCATTAGACAACCATTCCATCTTTAGTGCTGGACTACAGGCCCTTTCTCCCTGCATTTCTATTTGTTAATTGTTTATTTATTGAGAGACTATTTCTCACCCCAGATAGTCATAGTTTCATAGTTCAGGAACACAGGAAAGTGACAAACTTCCAAGGAACTCAACCCAGAGAAATTCTTTATATTCCAAATCACTTTGCACTCTGAAAGATACCAGCCTTCCTGATCTCCTCAAAATCTTTCATGGAATCATAATTTCTGTAGAAATCTGCATATGCCTTCTTTCTTCGTTCAGCCACAGCAAACTTATAGAAAGCTGCAAACCCCAGGGAGACCATGAATGCTCCAACAATATGAAATCACAGACATTTGGCCAGGAGGCCACGCATCTAAGGTCTTGCCAAAGCAGTGGACATGGTAGTTTTTCTTCTCGACGGCTCAACCACAACATCCTTCCAGGCTGATGGAGAAATGGACCTCCCTGCATTTCTAATCTCTTCCCTTTTTCACAAAACCCTTAGCCATCTTTTACAAGACCCAATATGATCACCGGTTCTGATTCAGCCTGACTCACAACTCCAGGGCCCACCACCAAAGAAGCAGTGTCAGGGCTGTGGGAGCACTTGGCTGGCCCAGCCTGGGTGCTTGTTGGTCCTCTCATGCTAGGCTTTCTGCCCTGGCCCATAATCTGGAACACATACAACATGTCAGCTGGTACAAACAGGGTAACAGGGGTTGGCAGGGGAATTCCAAGGAGGGAAGTAGGGAGGGAGCCAATTACAAGTGTAGCGAAAACTGTGAAAGATGTTGAATTTAGTGGCTATCCTGAATAACTTACCCACCTAGGTTCTTTCTGCTTTTGTTTGTCTTTGACTAGACATTTCTCAGCTCTAAAGATGGAAGTGAAGTTGTAAAACTTGATAGTAATGCAAATAATTCCTGCTCACAGTGATACAAATTGTGTCTAGTGGAAGACAACTGACTATTGCCTTGTGCATATTGGCCAATTTTGCATCTATTTCTGAAATGATTTCAGCATTCCTTATCTGACTATCATGTGTGATACTGTGAGTTCTCCTTTGAATTGATTGTAATGTTTTAGTGGTTCTGTCATTAATTAATGAGTTAAACTAAATTTTGACATGTTAATTTTGTATCATGGGACAGGCATGATTATATCCTCTTTTAAAATTTACCATTAAATACAGACAAAGTTTGTATGATCACATACTCACTTTAGAAATATTAATGATTAGAGAAAAAAATTTAGGATACACAAGAAGCTGTTAGAGTTCACCTGTGGGGAAAATGGAGGGTAGGGGCATTTAACTTTTCATTTTATATTTTTTGTACTATTTTAATTTTTAAATTGTGTTATAAGAATTTCAGTGGATGCCGCCTTAGCCAGGCAAAGGTTTAAGGGTCATCTGTTTTCTTTTTTTAAACTTTTCCCTAGAAAGAAATAATAACATTAACTTTATAGTTATTTGTTAAGCTGTACATATGGTTGTTTGAACTTTTCTGATTGTATGTTATATTTTAAAATTTAAAAATTGGATCCTTGTTGGGACTTACCCGGTGGTCCAGTGGCTAAGGCTCTGTGCTTCCAATGCAGGGGCCCAAGGTTCAATCCCTGGTGGGGGACCTAGATCCCACAAGCCACAAATATGAAAAAAATAAGAGTCTGCATGCCACATCTAGGCACAACCAAGAAAAAAATCTGAATCTTTAAAATTTAAAGGGAAAAGCAAATCAAATAAGAAAAAACTACATCTTGGCATATTGCTCCAAGCCAGCCCTGGGCAGCCAGTGGTGGTTATGATGTACTGCCTGTCTACAGGGAAGAGGATAAGGTTCAGGCTACACCCACAGGTCAAAGGGCTCCAGGCACCCTCCCTACACATACACACTATGTCAGGGATGTCCAGGAGAGGGACCTTCCTCACTGTTCAGTACTTGTCACGTCCCCTCCCTCTCGCTCTCTTGGCAGCCCAACGCAGGGAACACTGATGGAAGATCATGCCAGAATGGGAACATTCCTTCTTCTCCCTCCCCTTCCTCCCCTGACAACTGAGAGGCATCCCGCCCTCCCTGGCTGGCCACTGGAAGGAAAGAATCACTGCCAAACCACTGCTTGCACAACAATGCGCTTCTGAGCAGGGTACATACAATTTTTGTCAGTTGAATCCTGTGTTCCTCCTGACTTACAAGATGGTCCAGATATACTCTGACTTCCATGCTCAAGGGAGGCTGATCCACTAGTAATGGCTTCACATTCTTTTGTCTTCATTAACCAACCTATAAACTGGCATTTAAGTTCATGAAGATAGAAGCTTCCTTCCAGGAATTTCTCCAGGCTTGGATGTTTGTCTCTGCTGTTCTCTTAGTGTGTGTGTGGTGAAGGAGGCAATACCCACAGGCAGTGGGACCATCTCTAAGCCCCTGACCTTTGGCATGAGTGTGTGCCATCCCTTGCATTTGGCACATCTGCACACAGGTGCTTTGCTACTGAACTCTGGTCTAGGAAAACTGAGGAAGAAGGCAGGCAGGAGCCCAGTCCTGCTCTCACTCGCTGTACACTCGCAGCTGGCCTGACCAGAGCTGACCCTTCCCACACTACCTACTAAGAACAGCGTCATGGTCACCCCTGAATCCTGGGGCTGCTGCTCCAGGCACTCCAGAACACCCTCCACTGCCACAGGGAGGGTGAGCTTCACTCCTAACATAACTACTTGGGATGTTTGAACCCAGATACCCAATGTCATATGACTACATCACTTTCTCCCTTCAGCCCTCAGTGGCTCCCCAGTGCCTGCAGGATCAAGTCCAAGCTCCATGGCCTGGCCTTCAAGTTCCTAGATTTGCAATCTGGACCCAGGTATACTTCTGGCACCATCTCCTGACATCACGTACCCCACTGTCTAACCACTCATTCAGCTCAGGCACACTGGAGTCCAACTTGTGCATAAGTCTAAAGGCTGTTTTCCAAACCTCGTAGCTGCCCCAAATGCCTCACTTCAAAGATAGCCTCTCTCTTATTAACTGATGTCATCAGAATTACACTATACAGATGCAGATGCAGGCATGCCAATGCCTGTTCTAATGCAGGGCCTTACCCTGGTGCTCACACCACCCTTGAGGCTGCACCTGGTTGAACATCACACAGACCACTCTGTAGAATGGCTCTCTCCGCAGAAGCAGCTGCAGATTCCTCCCACCTCCCCAGAGCTCAGTGCTGTGGAGCAGAGGCAATTGTATTAGGACACATCACAGCATCTTGCTGCCAAAGTGACAACTACAATTATGTTTTGGCCGACAGCTAGAGATGAGAGAATGTACAGCCAAGGCCTCATGGGCCTTCATGACTCAGCAGATTGTGCTGTGTGTCCAACTGGTAGGTGAGGTGGGCCCAACCTGCCTACTGCCCAGGCCCTCTCTTGGGAGGCAAACTGCTGGCTACAACCTCGAGTTAATACCTGGGGCCCTCGGGTGAAGTCCTTCACTGGGGTGTGATAGTTAATCCCCCAAGGGACACCCTAGGCCCAGAGGAGAGAAACAGTAGAGTGGTCATGCCCAGGCATGGCCCAAACCAAAGATAGACAATTGATTCCTTGGCAAGGGCAGGGGCAGGCCATGCAAAGCCAAGCTGCCTGGGGGTGAGCTCCATCAAGCAGGGCAGCCTGAAGCGGGGGATGCTTGTGATGGACAGAGAGTTTCTTGAGGCTCAGGACACCACCTCCACGAGAAATCCTGGTGCCAAAGGCTGTGAGCATAGGATGGTGTCACTGTAGGGGCCCAGATGATGCAGCAAGAATGAGCAAGCAGCAGCGGCAGCTCCCACTTACTGAGCCCTTCCGAGTGCCTGGCGATGCGCTGACCACTTCGCATATGTTCCTTCTTTGCATCTTCCCCATAACCCAGTGAGGTAGGTTCTGTTATTATCTCTACTTTACCAGGGAGGAAACTGAGTCTAAGAGAGGCATGTGATGGTGGCTGCGAAGCCGGTATGTGTGCAGACAGAATTGGAGCCCAGACAGTCTGGCTCCAGAGCTCGATTGGTTTGTGTTCCCATTATCTTGGTTTGACCCTTTCAATCCAGTCTTGGTTGCAGGAAGTTAAGAGACCCCCTACCACATTCCTCACAGATTGTGAGTTGAGTTGGGGCCTCCAAGTAGACTTTGACCTGGAAGCCAAGATATTACCAAGAAAAATAAACAACAGCTATTTCAGGTGACAGGTACTGGGCTACAGAATTGGGAGGAGACAAAAGCTATCAGGATTTCCTCCAAGTCCATATTTGCATGTTCAGCAGAACAAGAGTCACCAGGAAGCTGCTCTGTGGCCAGCGTTGCCCCTGGAGACAGGGTAGGAGCAGGAACTGTCCTTTCTCTCTGACCCGCAGGCCTCCAGCTAGCCCAGAGCTTGCCTCTTACTCAGTCCTGACCTGGCCTCTGGCTGAGGCCCTGGGAGGGGCAGGCTCAGGTTCTTGCACTACTCTGAGGAGCACTGCTGCCCTTTTCAGGCCTCTTGTTGAGGCAGAACCTGCTTGTCCGCGCATCCTGCCCAAAGGCATGCAGAGTGGAGGCAGTAGACTAACAACTCTGTCTACATGCTTCCTAAGTGGGCATCTGAAAGGCTGGTGAGGCTGGGACATGGGAGCATTTGTATTTCAAGTGACTGCTGCCCATGAATCACCAATTTCATTCTGTGCTCTCAGCTCTGCGAAGGCATCATTTCCACCCAGCCTCACATGGAGCTGGCGGCCAGAGCCTCTTAGTGGGGCTATAAATAGCAGATCATCAACTCACCTCTTCTGAGCTCATCACAGGCTCCTGGGTTTACTGCGTGTCTTCCTGCTGCCTGCACGTCACCATCACTCAGATTTCCCAGGTGAGGCGTGGCTGAGAGACGCAGGGCATGCTCTGGGGGCTGCAGGGTTTGGATTTTCAGAGATGTTCAGGGTGACAGCAAGGGCAATGGCAGACTTTCGAAGAGCTCGGCATTTAGGGCGTCATAATTATAATCTCGGATCTCTGAGATCCTCTCCAATTAAACACAGTAGCAAGGGACTGTCATTTCTCCAGAAGTCCTAGAAATAAAAGGCAAAGGATTCACCAAACACACACCCAGAGAAAGCCACCTGGAGTGGGTAGCAAGAAATGAGAGCTTTCATGCCTTCCTGTGGACTCGTCTCCTAACACTGAATGAAATACTTTATGGCTCTCCGGCTTCACAAGTGAGATACACTGAATGAAATATTTTATGGCTCCCTGGCTTCAGAAGTCAGATCACATTTTTTTAGTATTACTCAGAGCTACCATTATGGAGTGCTCCCTGCATGCCAGGCTCTGTGCCCAGTCTTGGCATGCAGCATCTCATCAAGTCATCACAACAACCATATTGAGTTAACTGCTAGTGGCATTGGCTTTCTATTGGTAAGAAGGCTGAGGCTCCCAGAGTCTCAGGGACAGGGCTGCTGGATTCCAGAGCCCTATCTCTGAACCACCAAACTTTCTGCCTCCTGCAGAGGAAGACTGTGTGTCTACTTCTGTGTTCACGTGTAGCCATGCATGTGTCCATGCACATGTGCGAACAGAAGGATCTGAACAATAGTCTCCTTTTCCCAGCTTCACATATTCCATGACTATGGTAGGAGCCAGATGCTCGTAGTCATCTTCCCCCAAATCCCAGGCCTCTCTGGCATCATGAATGTCCCCCATTGTCATCTTCTCCTAATTGTGATCTTCTTCGAGGTTCTCCTGCAGGAGAGGCCCGGCCTCTATTTGGCTCTAGAGGCCCAACTTGATGGTATTCCTCATGCCTCCCTCCCCTCAGGCCTTAAACCGTCAGAGGTCAGGTGGGACTCCATCCCTCCCCTTTGCTCTCCCCCTACTTCCCACCCTGAGGGCAGTCTCCCTCCAATTTGTGTCCTCCTTCACCTCCCAGAGTCACAGCCCCATATTTGAGGTCCAGGGCCCTTTATTGGCTTGTTTCAGTAGCCTTCCAGCTCAGTGCTGCACCCGATGAATGTACTAACACATATCCTAAGTCCCCTCTCTACACTACACGAAACAAAATCCGGCAGGGTAGAGGCTAGGGTACGCATTTTTAAAACGCTCTTCCAGTCATCTATGCGGCAGGATTAAGAGACCCTTTGTCTAAAGGGCCACCTAGACTTCAACCTCTCCCTGCTCCAAACCCTCCCACTCACAGCTATAAGCTTAAATTTCTTTTCCTTTTTAAGTGTTTATTTATTTGGCTGGGCCTGGTCTCAGCTGCACTGGGATCTTCGTTGCAGCATGTGGGATCTTTCCCTGTAACACATGAGCTTCTATAGTTGTGGTGTGCATGCTTCTCTCTGGTCGTGACATGCAGGCTTAGTTGCCCCTTGGTGTGTATCATCTTAGTTCCCTGACCAGGGATTGAACTGGCATCCCCTGAATTAGAAGGTAGATTCTCAACCGCTGGACCACTAAGGAAGTCCCATAAGCTTAATTATCTTAAAGCTCAGTTTGTCTCATGTCACTCTCCTGCTCAAGATTCCTTGGGTGGCTCCCCACTGCCTGCAGGACAGTGCAAAGTCCTTAGTGTGGCCTTCAAAAGCCTCTCCATCCTGACCTACACATGTTCTGCTAACCCTTGCCCTGTCCACAGAGTCATCCTTCCCTGTAACACCCCCCTGCCCCTGCTCTCTCTCCTTGTCTGGACTTTAAGATGTCAGCTGGCACAGCACACTGAAAGAGCAGTGATCCTTTCCTAAGACTTTGAGCACTTCAATAAGAGGAATGAGGAATTATTGCTAAAATGCCCTCTTAACTCAAGAGCCACACGTGCAGCTTTCAATGAAGAAGGTTTTGTGTGGCCAGAAGATGAAAGGAGATCCGCCAGCAGATATAACACAATAGCAGTAATGTATAAACACAAGAAAGCAGGAGAGGTGGGGCTCATCATTAATTCAAAGAAGATGGTATTTCAGCATTCTCCCTGCTTTTATTCAAGACAGAGCAGGTCCGGTAAGCATTGGTGCCAAGGCCATGTTTCAAACTGCCTCTCATGCTTTTCTGACCCCATTCCTAGACAAAAGCAGAGAAGAACATTTGGATCTTGTTCAAAAGGTCAAAAGTGTCTTACTAACATGATTAAACAATGTGTGTATGTGGACTTTGCTCCATTTCCCACAAAGAAACACCTAGCTCAAAATAAAATAAAGAATGACTATTCTGGGGAATGGGGTGGGATGAATTGGGAGATTGGGATTGACATATATATACTACTATATACAGTATTTTTTGTATAGCACAGGAACTTGGTGTTCTGTGATGACCTAAATGGGAAGGAAATCCAAAAAAGGGATGTATGTATATGTATGGGTAATTCACTCTGCTGTACAGCGGAAACAGACTCAGCAATGTAAAGCAACTATATTCCGATTTTTAAAAAGGTGACTGTGTTGACTGACAGCAGAAGTTATTTCAGAACATGGCTGGAAATTGTTAAAGTGAAAAGGGACTCTAAAGAACTTCCAAACAAATACAACAGAAGAACCTCTCAAGAATCTCTCTCTGCTCCCTCCCAAAGCCCTACTACAGACAACCATAAAGGAATAAAAAGAGTTACATATTGACAAGTCTATGCAAATAGGGGAGGACGTGGCTGCCGGGGGAAGACACTGCAGCAGACGGAGTACCTCAGCACATTTCTGAAAGGCAGGAAGCAGTGGGGAGCCACATGGCAGCACAGGGAGGCTGAAGGCCTGATGCCTGCAGAGAGCTTCCGGATAAGAAGTGGGCAGGTTTCTGGGACAGGGCGGGCAGAGCTGCACACAGGAGGGGCTGGTGGAGAATGCATGAGGGCACAAATCCCACTGGGCACTGGGGTCACACCTCGCTTGTTCCTGCAGGAAGCATGATGTGCCCACTGGGGAACTTGGGTCAGCTCCGCAGGCACTGTAGAAGGTGAGTATGGAGTACAAAACTGAAAATATGGGGGAAATAAATGGAAACTCTGAAACTAAGAGGTAAATTTCCAGCCCCTTTTTTCTCATCCTGTTTCTAGGAAGCTTGATAAACAGGCATACTCTAGACTGAAGACTCAGGAACTCTTTTCTGAAGAAACAGCACACTCAAGGGAAAGACCTATAGATACATACATGATATGGATACAGACCCCCAGAAGAAGAGCCAGCTCATGACCAGCCACCCTCTACAGGGAAGTCCACTGACAAACAAGATCCACCCATGCATGCTGACCATCCAATCATCTATTCAGCACATAGTTCCTAAATATGATCAGAAAGCCAAGATCCCCAGACATTTAATGAAAGCCTTAGACATGAAAGGTGTGGGGGAGGAAGGAAGAATGCATATGTTTAGAGAGAAGAAAGCTTTACAAATGCTATGAAATATTCAGGGAGAGAAAATAAGATTTCTATTTCAAGACTCACTTTCATAAAATGTCAAAACACCAGGGATAAAGAAAAGGCTCCAAAAGAACTCAGAAAGGAAATACAGGTCAGTTGAAACGATCAGGGTTGAGAACAACACCAGACCTCTTAGTAGCAACACTGGAAGCTGGAGGATAATGGAGTCACCGATTCAGAATTCTGAATGAGAATTATTTTAGCTTAGAAATTTAAACTCAAACCATTAAGAGAAATGGTAGAACAAAAAATACTTGAAAACATGGAAGATCACAAATAATTTGCCCCTCATGCTCCCTTTCTTAGGAAGCTCTCCACCCAGATAAGAGAAGAATGAAATACTTTATACTCTCTCACCCAAATAAGAGAATAGTCCAAGAATGAGCAAGACATACCCAGGAGAGGGCAGAGGCATTCTCAGGATGATGGTGAAGGATATTTGGTGCCAGATGGGCCAGATGGATTACCTAACAGGTGTGAAGATGTGGGAAATTATGTTCAGGGGCTATTAGATGGCTGCAAGAATTAGCAATAAGTTTACCAAAAACTGAGTCAATAAAAAAGTCTGAGGCAACTGCTATCTACCTATAAACCCACAACACTTAAACTGTAAAAGAAGATAAAGGCAACACAAAACAATTTACAGAGCTATAATAATGTTAACACAGATTACTGATTAATCAGTATCTGTGATGTACAGTACTGGGAAGCTGGAGAAAAGGGAAGGAAGATGTAGGTAGAAGAGAGTAAAAGAAATCAATCTTCATATTCCATAATTACAAATAAATGGGTAACATTTAAAATTGACAAATCAACAAATGAACACTATAATATATGATTTAGAAAGGTTAAAACTGGGAGAAACAGCTGAAAGAGTTTAACTGGGTACCGCTGGGCATCAAGCAGGGAGTTAGAGTTGGGTGGGATAGAAGGCTACTATTTTTCACCATGTGCCTTTTAGTTCTATTTGATTTTTTAATTTGGGGGAGTGTATGTGTTATTTTTATGAAAATAAAAAAAATTACCTTGAGGGGTGGGATGGGGAGAGTGGTGGGAGGGAGGTTCAAGAGGGAGGGAACAGGGACATATGTATACCCATGGCTGATTCATGTTGATGCTTGGCAGAAACCAACACAATACTATAAAGCAATTATCCTTCAATTAAAAATGAATAAATTTTTTAAATTAAGAAAAATCATTAGAAAATATTTTAAATTTAAATATTTAAAACTCACCCAAGTGCATGAGACAAATGCTTGGGCCTGGTGCACTGGGAAGACCCAGAGGGATCAGGTAGAGAGGGAGGTGGGAGGGGGGACCGGGATGGGGAATACATATAAATCCATGGCTAATTCATTTCAACGTATGACAAAAACCACTGCAATGATGTAAAGTAATTAGCCTCCAACTAATAAAAATAAATGGAAAATAAAATTAAAAAAAATAAAATAAAAAATAAAACTCACCCAAGGGCCACATGACTTGAAAAGGTCAGTTTACATTCCAATCCCAAAGAAGGGCAATGCCAAACAATGTTCAAACTACTGTTCCTGTAGTACAATTGTGCTCATTTCATATGCTAGCAAGGTAATGCTCAAAATCCTTCAAGCTAGGCTTTAGCAGTACATGAACTGAGAACTTCAAATGTACCAGCTAGGTTTAGAAAAAGC